CAATATTTTTCAGTGGAGAGTTAAACATAACAAAGTTTCAAGCAATATTTATTTTGGAAATATTCGTTAAAAGAAGAATATATATTTGTTGCAATATTGTAATTAACCACCCCCGGAGGTTCCATTCTGATGACGCCAAACAGATAACATCATGTGGATACTTGGCAGATGGTGTAGACAAGTCCTGTCGATCCAGCAACTTGAACGATTTAGGAATCAGCTTTCGGTCTGGACAAAGATGTAGAACATTGCTTTAGAACGTGGAACTCATGACCATGTGTCACCATTTACACACATTACACACAATCCGTGATTTGAATAAGGTATTTAGAAACAGGAGGATGCAGTCAACATTTGTAAGTGATGATTTGCACATCGAAGTAACACAGGTAGCAGCCGTAGCCGTTTACAACTTCACGAACACGAGAACACGTGAATACTAGTGATGATCCGATTAATTGAAATAATCGAAGATTGGTCGCAGTGACTAAACGACCAAGCAATCGATCATGTGTTCTCATAATCGAACACAAACAATTCTGGAAAACTTGTTTTCATAAACAATATTTTTCACAAGGTTGGTTTTGTCTGTTACATTTCATAAGCACTACAACTCATGATTGAATTTATCTTAACGACACCAAGAAATTTATGTTCCTTTAAAGATGTGAAAATTTGCAAAAAAACCCAAAATAACTACATGTTTTTTTCCTTATTTTTTGTGCATTAACAAATTTCATAAATGACGCTAACCAATTATTTTCGATGGTTGATCGGTGGTAATGAACCAATCATCAATTATGAGATTTTAACCAATTCCCAACACTAGCTTCTGATATATTGTAGATCTTACAACGGTTCTGCTTTTAGCAAGTGATTCATATGATTACCTAAGCGTCTGTTGCTTGAACTGAAGTAAACTGCTTTGTATGCAACAAAGGTGGTAATAATGGATAATCAATCCCGATACAAAGGTAAAACAGCAGTGCGGATCAATATTAGCTTGACCTCGGCATTAAATCGACGTAGATTCACACATTTGACATCAAAAGGAACCAGGTCTTATATATATTTATCATCTAATATCATAATAATAATAATAATAATAATAAATGTGAACTTATAATGCGCCTTTTCCATGCACAAGGCCCATGCTCAAAGCGCTAACAAAGTGAGTGGATAATATGCATATATACAATAAGGGACTAGTTGCTAGTCATAATGCAGTGAAAACAGATGAGTCTTGAGAAGTCGTTTGAAGGAATAAAAGTCAACTGCTGATTTAATGGTGATAGGGAGAGAGTTCCAGAGTAGAGGGGCAGAGCAGACAAAGGATTTCCTTCCAAAAAGTTTGCAGTTTGAACCGAGGCACAGAGAGTAGGTTCAGATTCTGAGAACGGAGCTGTCTTTCTGGAGTGTACGGGGTAAGAAGTTCTTTCAAGTATTCTGGGCCTATGCCATTGAGGCATTTGTAGACAAAACACAATATTTTAAAGTCAATTCTTGATTTAACAGGCAGCCAGTGGAGGTTTTTCATGACAGGTGTTATGTGTGAGCGCTTTGAAGTTCTGCTTATGATTCGGGAGGCTGTATTTTGGACATTTTGCAATTTTGATAGCAGCTTCTGAGAAATACCAAAAAGGAGGCTATTGCAGTAATCAATTCTTGATATAACAAGTCCCTGGACCAGACCGTGTGCTGCATCACGACTGATGAGATGGCGTATTCTGCCAATGGCTCGTAGATGAAAGAAGCATATTCTGCAGAGTTGATTTACATGAGTGTCCATCGCCAGGTGTGTGAGTCAAGTGTAACTCCAAGGTCTTTAACAGAGTCCACTGCTTGTATCTCTGCATCTGCTACCAGAACAGTTTTGGTGGTAATTTGTTTTGCATTTGCCTGGATCAATAACCATCACCTCAGTTTTGTCATCATTTAACTTTAGCAAGTTGTTTGTCATCCATGACTTAACATCTTTAGTACAGTCTGTTATTTTATGAAGACCAGTGTGAAAGTCCTTGGGAGTTGAGTTTTTCTGAAGTTGGGTGTCATCTGCAAACGAATGATGGCAAATGCCATGTTTGTCAATTACGTCTGCAACATCGGTCGTGTATGCTATGAAAAGAAGCGGACCGAGTACCGATCCCTGGGGTACACCACAGTGGACCAAGGAGGTTTGTGATTTGATGTTATCTAACTGGACAGTCTGACTTCTGCTTTCGAGATAAGATTGTAACCAGATGAGGGGTACCCCATGGATTCCAAATTGGCCCTTGAGTCTTTCCAGAAGGAGTTGGTGGTCGATTGTATCGAAGGCAGCAGAGAGGTCAAGCAAGATAAGAGTAGCTAGTTTGCCTTCATCAACAGCTGTAAGTAAGTCGTTGGAGACTCTGAGGAGAGCTGACTCGGTGCTATGATTTGATCTGTAAGCGGACTGGAATTTATCCAAAAGTGAAAAGGCAGAGAAATGATCCCTGAGTCGAATATTGACTGCTCTCTCAAGTATCTTTGATATAAACTTCAGATTAGAGACTGGTCGAAAGTTTTTAAGCAAGTTTGGATCTAGGTTATCCTTCTTTAACAGGGGGATAACAGTGGCATGTTTGAAAGAATCTGGGAAAACACCACTTATCAAACTACTGTTCACCATCTTTGTGATAACTGGGAGCAGCAAATCCAGGAATTCTTTTACCAGAGATGTGGGAATCGGGTCCAATTGACAAGTGGTCGGCTTGGATCCAGAAATGATCTTCTTGATGTCGTTTTCAGAAAATGGATGAAACTCCAATAGTGGTATACCAGAAAACTGTGTATCAGTAGGAGTATCAAACTGGAGCCTAGTACCTTTCAGTGTTGAATGAATTTTGTCAATCTTGGCTCGAAAAAAGTCATTAAAGGAGTCAGGAAGTTCATCAAAAGGTGGAGTTGAGGGTAGGATTGGATCATGCTTTTTCCCAAGAAGGCTATTTATAAATTTATGCATTTTCCTAGGATTATTTTTAATCTCCTCGATAGTGGACAGACAATAGTTCTTCTTAGCATGGGCTATGTGTTTAATCATGCTATTCCTCGCTTGACAATACATCTGACGATGAACTTCTAGTCGTGTCTTACGCCAAAGTCTTTCAGATTTACGTTTCTGAATTTTCGCCCAATGGACTTCATCATCATACCAGGGAGAATTTGACCGCACAACAACAGTCTTGCTAACAGCAGGAGCATGCTTGTCTAGGATTGCAGAGAGCGTATCCTGATAGAGATCTGCCAGAGCCTGAATGTCGTCTGGGGGTTCACACACCAGACTTGACTTGGCAAGATCGGCCCTGAACAGGTCCTTATTGAAAGATCAATATTTCAAAAAGAATTTGAAATTAAAAATCATCTAACTTTTTGCAGCCGTCTGATAGTAATGCGGCCTATATAGGTGAAAGAAAATATCTTATCAAATAAGATATATATAATGAACCATGCTGAGGAACCTTTGTATGTATATGGAAAGGGTTTTGTTTCTTCTATGTATAACATAGGAAGAACCCTGTCTCTGAACTGACATATATTTGTCGTGACGCTCCTTTAATGTTCTTTGAATTACAATGTTGTGTTTATAATACAGTGAAATGAAAGATCACGCGTTAGCTGCTCCCGCTCACGGGAAGGACTTCAGAGCGCCATGTCAGAAAATATACCTGTAAACGATTTTGCCTGTTTTGTTAGTGTTTCAGTCAGGTTGCAAGTATCAAATAGAACATTGTTGATCTACTAACGCAGGATCTCTTTTCACCTAATGAAATGCCTAAAGTAAGTTACATCCAGGCAAGAGTGAGTGAGTACGTTTTTACGCTGCTTAAAGTATTCCGGCAATATCACTGTGGGGGACACCAGACTTCACACAACCATATCTTGACTACATTATCTTGATATCTATCAATAAAGGCCAACTAAAATATAATTAGTACCTGCCAATGAAAGACAGTAAATGAAAGGAAAAAAGTTGTTCTACCATATTACATCATGGTTTTGTTAAAGGTTTGGAGTCGAACACAAACATGTAAATTTTGGGACTTTATTAACAAGAATGATATTGTCATAGTTGCAATCATATATTTTAGATTAAATAGATCACCGATTTTTTGTCGCAAATGAAAGCTTCATATTACGTCCGATGCTTGTGTAATAATTCGTCAGAATAGACGCGTACACGTACTGAACCATGAGCAAGAAATACCAATAAATAATATGTCCTAAAGGATACATTACGGGTGGAAAGTAGCTTCGTCTCGTTTGGTGTGTCTGTTTCCATGTTATTCCCGACTGGTCCGGCACTGCGGATGCCTTTTGTGGAACATATTCGCCCTTGGGGCGTGGTGGGCAAGCTTTGGGGTGTGGTGGGCGATCTGTCTAAGGCGCCAGGCTAGTGATTCAGCGAACTTGAGCTACCGGGATCGAGCCCACATGTGACCGGGTGTTAAAACCTTGGAGTCAGCTTGGTGTGCAGACTCTTTCAGTGTTGTCACAACCCCAAGTGTACAGTACACAACCCTGTGCACTTAAAAGAACCCACGGATCCGTTGGTATATGAGCAGATGGTGACCACATGAATACGTGCAAACACCTAGTTGCGGGTACAGCAACGTGCAGTAAACTTGGACAAAGTACTGTGACCATGTGTCCCAGTCACCCAGCTGTGAATGGGTACCTCGATAGGATGGGAAAGCCGGTGCGCCAAGTGGCTGCAAGAGTTGTATACTCACCAGCGAGTTGAAATTGATAATACGATGTGCCGTTTGAGTTTGACATCCAATGATCATGTGAAAAAATCAAAGCGCCTTTGAGCAGCTGAACTGGATATTGGCGCTTTACAACTGTTAGCATAATAAAAGAAAATAAAAAATGAATAAGAATACTTAGCTTGGGTAAGACCCACGTTTTCTTATATTTCACCAGTAAACGGCTTCGTCCCAAGTCGCTATGTGTCCCTAATCTCACAAACGGTTGACGGTTCAAATGTATTTTGTGTGTATAGACACGTGAAAATGATCCATCCCAATTCTACCATGACTTCAGTAAATACTGGATTGTGATTGGTTAATCAAAGTCATTCAGATGTATATAATCAAATTATATACTTCTGATTTTCCAACACAGTATGTATTTAATTTTTATCTTAATAATGCGGTTATGGTAGAATGGAGATAAACATACTGTGTCGTAAAATCAGAGGTATATAACCAAATTATCATAGCTCTAAATTTTCTATTTAAAATTTAAATTTAGAGTTATTATAATTTCGTTATATACCTCTGATTTTCCAACACAGTATGTTTTCCTCCTAATTACTCTATGACATCTCTTTGTTAATAATTGCCATTTTGAAAAGTGTATAATTACGCTATTGGAGTAATTTGTTGACAGTGTGTAAACAGTGTGCATTACTAGTGGTGTTCGGATTAATTGAAATAATCGAAGATCGGTCGCAGTGACCAAACGACCAAGCAATCGATCACATTTTCTCATTATCGAACATAAACGATTTTGGAACTACTGTTTTAGTCTTTGAAATACTTGACAATGGAACGTATCTTAGAAGTTGTCAGGGCCTGAAAACGTGATTATTTCACTTCACTATCTAAAATGTCACGACTGAATATTTCTCTAAGACTCCAGGAAGTTTATGTTCATGATACATGTATATCAGTCATCACTTTAAAGTAGCAAGTTGCATCATGTTGTACACATCTGTAATTACAACTTGGATAGGAAAATCTGAAAAATGACGCTTACCAATTTTTTTCGATGATTGTTCGCTGGTAATGAAGCAATCATCAATTGTGAGATTTCAACCAGTTCCCAACACTATGCAGTACACGTTTTCCCCAACTGTTCTATTTCCCTTAAGCAATGTTCTCTGTCCAGACTGTCATCTGATCACTAAATAGGATACAGAGATGAATCGATAGGATTTGTCTGTACCATCTGCCAAGCTTACGGGGATAAACAGCTGAATATCTGCTTAGCTACACCAGAATAGCAGGATGCTGTAGGAGGGTTTCGGCTCAGTTAGTATGTGTGTACCCTGTTTAGTTTAAGACAAAATATTACGGATGTCAACGTCAGAGTTAATGTCGACTAACATATATATGTTACAGAGAATGTGTGAAACCAGGGATTTCACGTAATCCCTGAAAGATTCAGTGATTTCGTGAAATCACTGTGACCCCAGGGATTTCATGTATTCCCTAAAATGTCAAGGGATTTCATGAAGTTACTGATTTTCATAGTGTTCCATTACACAAATTCCCTGTTAGGATATCAGTGAATGTATGAAGTTAATGTTTGTAGCTTAAAACTTTACTGTTGAGTCTCATTTCATCCCTTAGGTCTTAGGAGTTAAAAACTTTGACTATTTACTGATGACACTAAGTCAAGCTAAGAGAGGGAAATCACCGATAATATTCCAGTTGATGTTTTAACAAATGACATCTGTATAGATTATCTTCATAAACTGTTTTCTAAATGTTATGAGATTGGTCATGTACCCTCCAACTGGGCCCAGGGGATCATTACCCCTACACCTAAGTCTGGACCTGACAACCCGAGAGACCCAATGTTTTATTGCGGCATTACGCTAGTGCATCTAATTGTTATGATTGATAATTTGTCGTTGGGTGTTGATATAACGATACCAACGTTGTGTATCAATATTCCTTTTGTAGTTTCAAAAGTTACAGAGGTTGTTGTCAGCGATTTCGTTTATAAATGGAAACAGCACCTTTTACAAGTTGGTAGTTAAACTGGCAGGGGAGGTAATAAGTTACACACGTACTGTACTTTAAGGACCGCCTTAGGCTGTTGACAGGGTCGGACGTGCTTGTCAGCCGCTCCGCTGTAAGGGCCTGTGTTGGGTCTAGAATTTCATATTCAGTTCTACGTTTGGCATATATATTTGTGTATTATCATTAAGGTAAGTGATTGTAGGCTATCGAGGGTCAAATATTGGCTTATTTTGCCATATTTGTGTGTTTTGTTGGCTCGCGGTGACTTACCGCACCACGTGGCCTCGGTTTTCGCGCATTGTGTCTGCGTGAAATTTTTCATTTCGACTTGGTCTTAGGACTATTTGGGTATGGAGAGCGACACTGATGGGGATGGGGATGATAATATTCACGCTACCTCATTTGAGGAAACCTCGACAGATGCTGAATTTGCAGAGAAATACGTGTCAATGATTTCCAAACGTTTGAAACGAAAACATGAGGATGACCGAGTTGTAAGTGATACGACATCGTCATTACCTATCAAATTTGTTGTCATTCTTACTTCTGTTGACCCAAGATTACGTTTGACAAACGTGAGTCAATTGCTTTGGCTCAGGATATCCATAAAACATTGGCGATGTGGAGTATATGAAAAACTGGAAAAGGGAGATTTAGTGATACACTGCAGGTCTGCTGAGCAACTTAACCTTGCACTGAATGTAGCGTGTGTCTGTGACGTTCGTGTCAAGAGTTCTGTCCCTAAGAGTCTTAGTGAATCCAAGGGGAGTTATTTACAATGTTGACACAGATGTAAATGAGGATGAGATAGTTGAGCAATTGAGAAGTCAAAAGGTTAAAAGTGCCCAAAGACTTTTGCGTGGAAAAGAAAAGGAACTTACTACTTCCATTCTTCTTACTTTCTCAACCCCACATTTGCCTGAACGTGTTAGGATGTATTATCAGTCCTTTCGAGTGCGTCTGTATATCCCACCAGCTATTAGATGCTACAATTGCCAGAAATATGGCCATGTTTCAACACGATGTAAAAGTAAAAAGCCTGTATGTCCCAGGTGCAGTGGTGAGCACAAAGTAGAAAATTGTTCGGAAACAGTATCGAAGTGTTGCAATTGTGGTGGTAGCCACAGTGCTGCCTACAAGGGATGTGAGAAATACAAGGAGGCAGTATCTGTGCAAAGGCTACGAGTAGAGAGTAAACTGTCTTATGCTGAAGCAACTCGTATAGTCAAGTCCACTCCAGCTCCATCTTATGCAGCTACTGTAACCGCCGCTCAGAAATCACGATCTGTGTCGGTACAAGCCTCACAAACAACAGTTGGAACCCGTCCTGTTCCTCTTGCAGCTACATCTGGGTCTAACCCTACCTGTATTTGTAAATGTCAGTCACGAGAGTCAAATTTAAGCCAGAGTGTATCAAATCCATCTGTTACAGCTCAAGTCAGCTCTCCACAGGTAGCCAATCCATTTCTTAGTACTTCTCCTCAAACCTTTTTAACGTTCTTGTTTGAGGGTGATTTCAGGATGCTTTAATGCAACAACCAAAGAGGAACAGATTAATCGTCTTGTGTCGGCGGCAAAAATACATCTTCACATCGATGTTCCTAGTGATCTGTTGACTGAGGTACATGTGGAGATGAATGATGGATAAAGCATTAGTATTCTTGACCATAATGCAATGGAATGCACAAAGTCTCGTTGCACATGGGGATAATTTAAAAGCATTTTCTATCAAATAGGTCACCACTGCCAGATGTTATTTGTGTACAGGAAACTTTTCTTTGGCCAGAGAGTCATTTTAGAATTAATGGCTATTTTGGTCTACGTCAGGACAGACTAACCAGTAATCCGAATACTAAAATCCTCGGAGGTGGTTGCGCTATATTTATTAAGACTGATTTGTCGTATCAGGTTCAAAATTACCAAATACAGTGTATGAGGCTAACGCAGTAAAACTTCATTATGAGGAAGATAAAGTCATTACTATTGTTAATATTTATAATACAGGTAAGCCAAACGTAGATGAATATCTGAAATTAATTGATCCCAATGGAGGCCCATATTTTATATGTGGGGACTTCAACAACCATAATATGTTTTGGGGAAGCAACAAGACGGATTATAATGGTCGGATTGTTGAACAATTTTTAGATGAAGCAGATCTTGTCCTTTTAAACGATGGTAAAATGACCCGCATGGATCTTGGCAAATGGACTTTTTCTCCTTTAGATCTATCAATGATATCATCACACATAGCCAGTAAGTGTAACTGGGATGTATTTCAGGAAGATGCATTAGGTAGTGACCACTTTCCTGTTTTTACTGAAATTCAGGTTCGACCATATCGTGATTCTTGTGATAAAGTCCCTCGGTGGAAATTCAAGAAGGCTAATTCGGCACTTTTTCTAGTCTGTGTACTGAACATATCACACCCGATCTTATAAATGGTGATGTTAATATGTCTAATGAAAATATCACAACACAATTAATAAAATTGCAGAAGAGTCCATTGGAAAATCGTCTGTTAAGAAAGCGGCATTCCCGCCAAAGTCCTGGTGGAATGACAGCTGTGAAAAAAGCCAATATCGCAAGGAAAAAGCATATAATAAGGTTCGCCACTCGTCATTGCCATGTGATTTGGCTGATTTTCGTAAGAAACGAGCTACGTTCAACGTATTGTACGGAGTACAAAACGGTTGAGCTGGAGGAATATATTTCTAATATTAATAGATTTACATCATTAACTAGTATCTGGTCCAAGGTGAAAACGATCGGTGGAAATAATATTCGTTCACCTATACCGGTAATGGGAGAAGCTGGAGAACTCGTATCAAAAGTCAGAAAGTAAATGCTCTTGTTAAGCAATTTAAATCTGTTAGCAGTTCTGAAAATTATTGTCATGAATTCAGAGAATATAAACAAGTTTTGAAACAAATTTTATTCCTGAAATGCCTTCTGCCATGTTGGAAAGTAGCTTGAAATCAATACAGATATCACTCATGATGAACTTAAAGGCAGCCATATCAAGAACACATAATTCGGCACCAGGCGCGGATGAGTTGTGTTATGAAATGTTTAAGCATATGCCAGATTCTTCTCTAGCTGTTATTCGGGAACTATTGAACTTAAGTTGGTGTTCTGGATCCTTGCCTACGACATGGAGACATGCAATAATAGTTCCAGTGCCCAAACCAGGAAAAGATCCATCGCTTCCTGCATCATATAGACCGATTGCTCTCACTTCTAATTTATGTAAAATCATGGAGAAATAGTTACTACCCGCCTGAACTATTATCTTGAACGAAATGAGCTTCTTACTCACATTCAGTCAGGATTCAGAAAGGGGCGTTCATGTATAGATCAGCATGTTCGTCTGGAAACTGAAGCACAGAAAGCTTTATGCAACCAGGAATACATGTTGTGTGTATTCCTTGATATCGAAAAGGCTTATGACATGATTTGGAGAAATGGTTTGCTTTTTAAATTGTGTAAACTTGGAATTAGAGGCAACATGTTCAAGTGGATATGGTCATTTTTGTCCGAAAGAACCATTCAAGTTCGCATATGTCAAGAACTGTCAGGCGTGCATATGACTGAAAATGGTACCCACAAGGAAGTGTAATAAGTCCAGTTTTATTTAATATTATGATCAATGACATTTTCGAGGACCTGCCTCTAAACATAAATGCAGCACAGTTTGCTGATGACGGATCGTTTTGGAGACGCTTTGGTAATTTTCAGTTTGTCATAGAATCTATACAAAACTGCTTAAGTAAAGAATCAGTACATGGTGTTCAAAATGGGGTTTAAGATTTCAAAATCAAAATCAGTGGCAATGATGATCACAAGACGTAAGATCCCTCATGATATCAGTTTATCTCTTGGACATCATAAACTGGAAATGGTGTCAGTGTTAAAATTTCTTGGTGTGTATTTTGATCAAAGATTAACATGGTCTCATCACATCACACATTTGTATAACACATGTAACAAGATCATCAATCTATTAAAGTGTATTTCAAAAACAAAGTGGGGCGCTGATAAGTCAACTATGTTATTGCTGTACAAGGCCCTTATCTTGTCCAGACTTGACTATGGTTGTCAGGTGTATATGTCGGCGGCTAAATGTCATCTTAATAAGCTTGATAGAATTCAGTCTAAAGCTTTGAGAATATGCACTGGTGCATATTGTACTATTCCAACCTCAGCTCTTCAAGTTGAGTGTTCAGAAATGCCCCTTCACCTTCGAAGACAACAGGTATCTTTGAAATATTTCTTGAAAATGAAAACCAAGAACAAACACCACGCAGTCACTGAGATTGTTAATGACTGTGTGGAATATGTCATGTGTGACTGGACTCATGGCAAATTACCCTTTGGCTTGAATATTCAGAGATTAGCTGATCAACATGGTATCTACAACTGTAACCCAGTTGATCCTTCTGCTCCGCCTGTCAAACCTCCGTGGGTTCTGCTGAAGCCTGGATTGAATTCGGAACTCAATTTAATCGTGAATAAGAGAATGGACCAAAACATAATAAAAGTGATAACTCAAGACTTTCTGTCTGAAAATTATTCTAATTTCACAAATATATACACTGATGAATCGGAAGAACCATCCAATAATCGTACTGCTGGGGCTTTTTGGATACCCAATTTATCGATCGCTAAGGTGTTCAGATTCCCTGATTATCTTTCTGTTTTTGCAGCTGAACTTTTGTCCATTTCGCAAGCATTGAGATGGGTAGATGAACATGACCATGAAGCAATTATCTTTACAGATTCTATGGCAGCAATCAAAGCTATAGAAGCTGGTGCAAATGGATCTAGAGATGACATTGTGCATGAGATATTAAAGTTAGATACATCGTTAAACATGAAGTATATTGCATGCGACATTGTGTGGGTCCCAGCACATGTTGGATTACATGGGAATGAGATTGCAGATAATTTGGCCAAATCTGGGTTACAGTTTCCTGAAGTTGATTTATTTAAATTTCAACCAATCCCTAAAGATTATGAAAATGTTTTATCGAAATCTGTTACAAGGAGTTGGCAACAGTTGTGGGATACAGGTACTACCGGCCGACATATGTACAAACTTAGACCATCACTAAAATCTGGTCATAAAATTCGTCGTCGTAAAAGGCGTGATGAGGTTATTCTTTCACGTCTAAGACTTGGACACTGTGGGCTAAATGCCTACAGGAGTATTATAGATAAGACGGTCTCTTCTAAATGTGGCCATTGCAATTTGGAGACGCCTGAAAACATCGAACATTATCTAATTACATGCCCTGGGCATAACAACATAAGACAAAATCTCAGAAGTGCTGTACTTGAGGTTGATGATGTATTCTCCTTAGAAACAGTTTTGGGCCCCAATATCATGCATGGGTCTGTGCAACGGGCAGTTTTAGATTTTGTCTCGTCATCTGGAAAATATGATGTAATCTAGACAGGCTCTCGAATGGCTTAGACAGATTTAGTTCTGTGGTTTTAAATCATTTTAACACTCTGTCATCTGAACCTACTGCTTTTTTATTGAATGAGTATTTCATGTTTTAGAAATGGAAGTGATTACTTACGGTTTTTAATCCGTAACACGAAGCAGAGGTTATTCCATATATGTATACATCTATCCAAATTAATAGTGTTGTCGTTTCTTTTATCTTACCTAAACGATTCCTTTTGGCGATGAAATTACATATGATTGTTTATTAAATCAAGTCAATGTGTTGGGCGCAAATAGGCCTCTTATTGGCCCACGTCGCCCTAAAACTATAAAACCAACCAACCAACTGTACTTTAAA